TGAGGCCTTCATTCGTTTGAATTTTCTTCTCGGTAAGGTCTCATCATTTTCTGAACCGTTTGGCAAACAATGCCATTTCCTCGTCATCGTCATCTTCATCCAATCACTCTCATTTTTTGTGGATTTGAGAGCAACTCCAATGTTTTTCTTCTTCTCCTTCCTTTGTGTCTCTTCAATCTTATCAAGGTCCACCTCATCTTCAAGCATCATTTCATGAGTGAGGAGTGAACCGATTAGCTCTTCAAGAGTTAAGATGTTAGATCCTTAGACTCGATGATTACCGTCTTCTTTGATTGCCACGATTTTGGGAGAGTAGACTAACTTCCTCACAAGCTTTTCATTTGAAATGATCTCCATATGATTTGAGACCATTGACAATCGTTGAAAATCTATCCGTCATAGCTTTGATATCTTCATTTGGTTTCATCTGAAATTTTATAGCTATGCGTTAGAAACTAATTTTAGATTTCTTTACCTCATGGTACCTTCATGAGTGACTTGAAGTTTGTCCCATATTTCTTTGGCGGTTGTACAAGATGAAACTCTTCCGTATTCATCTGGTCCAGAGCACAAATATGATATGGATGGCATTGGAGTTGAGCTGGAACATTTTTGTCTCTCCTTCACTCCATAATCTTGGATGAGTGAGAGGCTTGAAGTATCCTTCTTCTATGACATTCCATGCTCCCATGTCACTTGCTTGAATGAAGTACATCATTCTATTCATCCAATAGGCATAGTTAGCCCCATTGAAGAAAGAGGCTTGTTGACGGGCATCGAATCGAGACCGGAGTCGAAGTTTGAAGCGGAGGCCATTGATGACTTTGATTATCGATATAACTCTTCCCGAATGACTCAAGACGATTAAACCTTCAAATGAGTTAGGCTCTGATGCCAATTGTTGAGTTAATCGATTGAGGAATTGGCCAAGGGGGTGATTGGCAATTAAAAATTTGGTGGAAGCTTTTACAGAAATTGAAAGTAATTGCACAGCGATTTAGAGTGGTTCGCTTTCTTAATCAAAGTCCACGTCCACTACCTTAGCTATCCACACTAAGATTCCAACAAATTCACTAATTTGTTCTTTTTTAGGCCAAAGAGATAACCTTACAACACCCTCAAGAATACCCCAATTCTTGAGAAACTCTTTCCCAAAGAGAAGATTACAAATTTGCAAACTTACAAGGAAAACCTCACAAGGTAAGATGTTTGCACAATTCTAGAACAAGAAAAGAACACTCACAAATATTACAAATGAGCAAATGGTGTTCTTTGAAGCAAAATGAATATTGAAAGGAAATTGGCTTGATTTGCATAAACTTGGTTTTGATGCTTTCTCTCTTGTTTCTCTATGATTTCTTCTTGATCAAAGGCTTCAGAACTTGTTTAAATACACCTTGAATCACTTCTAACGTTGGGGATGATTAGTGAAGATCATATAGTTTTAGTGTGAAAACAATTAAAACAACTTGGAGCGTGGGGGGAATCGTACCCCCTATGGGAATCGGTTCCCTAAGTGTAAAATTCAAATATTTCGACCGTTATAAAAGGGGGAATTGGTTCCCTCCGAGCATACTGGAATTCTCGGAGCCAAACCATTCAGGGGGGAATCGGTACCCCCTGGGGGGGAATCGGTTCCCTCTGAGCAATCTGGAATTTTGGCTTTGAAATGGTTCGAAATACTTTGTAAAATTATTTTGAGATTGTTTTAAGATTAAAACTTAATTTTACACTTGAGTAAGGATTAAAAATGATTTTTGAAAGATTTGGAGTAATGTTTTGATATTCAAATAGTTATATCGAATATACTTAGAAAATCATTTGGAAAATCTTAAAATTCATTTAACTTAATTTGTTATATCGAAATATCAAAATGTTTTCAACAAAGTCACCATTGAAAATTGAGGACAGAGAAGACATAAAATCAAAAAAAATTATGACAAAATGTGATGGTTAATTGCTGGAAATTGAAAAGATGTAAATGAATAATGGTGACAATTGGGTTTAAAGATACAACTTCTCACCAAGAGTCACGATTCATGTCTTCAAAAGGTATGTACCCCTTCATCAAAACATCACGATTTTTCATTTTTCAGGAGAAACCAAATGAAAGGTCACTTCCAACTAAGATATCCTTAGAAGAAGATCTTTCCGAAAAGATACATGTTGGTAGATTATACTCAAAGAAAGGCCTTAGGAATCTTATAAAAACCTATTGGAAGTACCCATTCCTCTAAAGGATACAATCCTTTGCCGAAAGAGAAGATTGAACAAATAGCTAAGCATTTGGAAGGACACAATGTTGGACCCTTCAAGCATACTAAAGGCTTCGATTTGAGGAAAAATCACCCTAAAGAAGGGGGATGATGCAAGCTCGTTCATATAAAGATGTTTAATTATGCAAGTTACTTATTTGATAAAACTCATAACTAACAACCTAAGTATGAAATGTAATTGGTTTATAAATGATCATAATAATGAAAAGAAAGTAAAGTAATATAAAGTCTAAGAATACTCCCTTGTAGATTAAGTAAACAATGCTTGCAAATGGTGAGAACGAGCTTGAATCACCTATGTTGTACTTATACGGATATGAGGACGAGTACATGCAATGATGGATTCACATGTATTTGAGGGTGGACAAGTGCCTATTTTAAAATTTAAATCTTTTTAATTAATTATTTATTTTACTGATGATATCCATCTTAAAATTTTATATGTTTCCTCTTATTCAAAAATTTTGTGTTATTAATATATGTGTACTCACTCTAAAAAATATTTCAAGAACCGTCATTGGATACGAGGATGAAAATGAAAACCAATAATTTTCAAAATTATAGGATAGGAGTTAAATAGGGTACGGTTCTTAAACTATGCTACCCATACCACTAATCTGTCAAACCATTCATCAACACCAACAAAACTAATAATCCAAGTAGCCTTTCATTAAAGTTTCTTACGCTTACATACTACAGGGACGGAGATCCTTATGGTAGAAAGGCTCTCCCATGTTAAAATTTATATATTTAATATAATTTTGGTTTAATAGTATTTTAGTTCATGTAAAATTAAATATTTAAATTTAAAAATATAAATTTTATTAAATATTTAATAAAGTAGGATCGAACTAAAAAATGATAAGTATGTGTTCTCAAATTTTTAGTTAATTATAATTTAGGTCATTGTAAGTTTAAATATAGACAAATTAAAATTTGTCTTTTGAGTTTTAAGTTTTTTTTTTAATTTAGGTGAATACAAGGTAATATATGTACAAAACTTTCAACTATTTGACAATGAACGTTTATACCCTACATATGTGCTTGAACTCGGGACCTCAAGATAACAATAATCTCTAATCACTATGGTCACTTGATTCATGTTGAATTTTAAATTTAAATATCTAATAAGTATTTATATTTTTATTAGATTAATCTACGGTTTCTTATACTGCCGTACTCTATAACTGAGCAAGAGTAGAATCCCTTGGCCGACATTCGATGTACGATTCCAATTTCGCATTCCTCTCCAGTTGGTCGAGTAACTTAAAATCAATAAAGAGAAATTGCTTAAGATCAAGCTTTAATCTCACCCTATCGATCTATGTTTCTTTTTCAAAACCTACATCCGAAGTTCTTAGTAGATTTATCATGGTATAATAATAAAATTAGCCTTCAACATTTATTAAAACTGTCATTTTAGCCTCAATTTTTTTCTGAGTATTTTGACCTCCAATTTTTTTATTTTAATTCTATTAAATATTAACGACAAATGATTTAATTAGTATTATTTAAACATTAAAGTGATCTAATTGAAATAATTTCAAAATCGATGGTCAAGTGAAATTAACCTGCTTCCATGACGCACGTCAAGCTGATTCCAAACTCAAATGCGTGCAAAACTAACAAACCACAAATCTATGCCGTAAAATTTAAGGCTTTTATAAACTGGAAATTAGGTTTTGAAGGATAAGAGATTTGAATCTTGGAGATTTTAAGGACTTAAAGAGATTTAAGTGACAAAAAGAATAGTGATGGATCACTAGATGAATGTTGATGGATGGGTAATCGTTTAGCGATGATAATGGTGGTCGGTGATGATCGAGAGATGATGATGGTTTGAAATTAAATATTTTAAGAGTTTAGTTTTTTAGATTTAAAAAATGAATTTTTTATTTTTGTTTTTGTTTTAATATATAAATATGAAATGTGTCAATAATAATTTTTTAAGACCATTACACGGTATACATTTAAGAAAAGGGTAAATTACATTATTCCCACCGAACTTTGCTTTCTTTCCTATTTTATTCATTGTACTTTAAAATTTTTAATTTACTCACTTAATTTTCAAATTGCTCATGTTTTGATTACTTTAAATTATTTTATTATTATTTTCGTATGACATGACATTTTTTATTATTTTAACATAAAATAAATTAAAATATAAAATAAAACAGTCACCGGATGCAATCACCAACCATCATCAACCGTCATAAATGGTGGCCATCGTCTCAAATTTCATAGGTTGTTTTGCATCGACACCCTGAGTCCAAATCCGACCTCCATTTTGTAGGAACTTGCTCTGAAGTCCACGAGTTGGAGGTCAAAAGTGAGGAAGTCGAAATGTTTCAGTTGAGATTCACGGGGTTTGAGATATTTTCCGATGAAACAACCATTAGATTTAGACTCAAGTATCAAGACGAATCGACCAATAAAATTCGAGATCAAATGACTACCATCTACGGCATTCGAATAAAAACAATCCACTAAATTTATCGTATTTTTTTGGGTACAAGGCTAAATTTACCGTGTAAAGCACTTTAAATCCGACTCCGATTTGTTAGTGTCCCTATCTAATCCACTCTGAATCCAATTTCAAAAATGCTGTCGGGTTGGGTTGAAATGATCGGGTTCAGTTTCTCCTCAAAGCCTAGGCCCAACTGCACCTGCCCATGATCAAACGAATTGAAAATCAAAGATCTCCCTCCCAATACAGAAACGACCTTAGATTTCTTAAGATTTGGTTCATCTATATAATTATATCTTCTCACTCTTGTGCTTTACTTTTCGTTTAAAAAATTAAGATGTTGCTTTAATTGGAGTTTGCTTCCGGGATGTTGCTACGATTGATTAAGGTTGATAGCCAAATTATTTGATCGGTTGACTTCATTTTTTTTTGCGTTTTTTATGTTTTTATATGGTTCAAGCTTATATGCTTTATATGTGGGGGGGGGGGATTTAGAAATCTTTTCAATTTGTTGAATATTGTTTAAGCTGCGTATTTTTTAGGGTTCAGACAACTTAATTGAGTTTTTGCTTTGAATTTTGCGGTAGGTTTTGTTTATTTGCTCTAAACAATTCTTAAAAAGTTTATGTTGATTCGGTGCCTTTGATGCATGAGTTTACAGTTTAAATATTGCATTAACTGAAATTTGTGTGGTCTCCCTCTGAGTTTGAAGGAAGTAAAGATTACGAGAGTATTTTTAGAGAAATGGAAGAGAATGAGATATGTATAGGACATTCTTCACTTTACGAGTGGTACGCGCATATTTCCTTGAAGCCAAAGGAATTGGGAAGAAGCACAAATAATTTATTGAATGGGTATTTCAAGGTTTTCTTCCCTTATTTTAATTCTTTTTTCTTTTTCTTTTTTATTGGGATTTATGTTTTTGATGACTGATACTTCTATTGTTTTTGGAGAAAAGGAAAGCTGAGCCCATTGAGAAGCTAAAGTTGGCACAATCCTTATTTGTTAAAAGAATGTCTGAAAGGCTTAATACTTTTTCGCTTGGGAAGGTATTTAAAGCTTAACCCTTGGATGCTACCAGCACCGTTGTTATGACTTTATATGCTTGTGTGCATATATACAGTAGGTGCAGAATTGGATATTTCTTTTTTGATTTATACACATTTCAAATATTGTGATGAGAGTTCACTATGTATGATTTCATGGAAATATCAAGCTAAGGCAAAATAATTTCCTCTTATGGTAATTTGAAGTTTTCCCCATAAGATGGAGTTTGCATTTATTGTTTTCGAAAGTTTCATAGATTCATTGGTGTTAAGTGTTTTGAATCTTTTCTAAATAATATGCTAAGGCTTCAACGTCAGCTTTTTCCTTCTTACCCTTTTTACGGATGCATAACTAGGTATCATTGATAAACATTTCACTAATAAAGAGTAATACATTACATCAGAAGGTGCGCTTTGTTTGAGTTTTGAAATAAAACGCCTGGTTGGGTAAACCCTTGCTTTCTTTCCATTCAGGTTGATGGAGATGAACATGCTGAGTTTGGCAAGAAATTTATTAACCCATGGTCTCCCTTCACCGTAGAAGAGCTTTTAAAGAAGATACAGCCACAAATCACAAAATATGATGTGAGAGAGTTTGCCAATATTTGTTACGTGTTTCTTCACTTTTTAGTCTGCTACTGGTTAGTCTTATTTTAGCCTTTTTGACATTTATTTTAGGTATACCACCTGAGTAAGAAAGCTTATTCTGGAAAAGTAGCCTTATCTTCTTTGAAGAAATATTCAAGGAATAAAATTATTGAGATAGGTACTTTTTGTGATGCTACAATATGGTTCTAGCTTGATCCTTTGAAGTCATTGTGTGGTGAGAAAAAATTCTATCCAAAATTTCCAAACCAGATCTACTTGAATAATTAGTGAGATTAAAGGTGAGGGTGAGGATTACAGAAAAATATGAGATCAAATTTGCTGCCAACAATAATATGTACTTTTGCTTAAGGCTTTCATAATATTTACAAGCAACTTCTTTCATCTTGTAAGGAACTAAATGTGTTATTCTTTTATCTCTTATTTTCAAAAGGTGGAAGGAAGTATCAGATTAAGGGGTGTGCTGGTCAGGGTGGCTTTGCTCAAGTATCTAAAGCGCATGTTGATAGGAATCCAGATGATGTTGTTGCATTAAAGGTTAATTTTTCCTTCCTTTGATAAAGATCACAGTTTTTTCACATATTGGACTCTTTTCAAATTTGTACGAACTCCTCTTGCAAATACAAAAGCCTGCTTTCCCTTGGGAATTCTACATGTACCGTCAACTTGATGAACGCATATCAGGCGAACAAATACAACAATTCTAGTTGCTTATGATTTTACATCATTATCAGTATTTGCTGGTCCAATGAGCTTTTCTGATTTTTCTAATTTCATTGTATCAGAGATCAAGCTTTGGTTTTGCGCATAAAATTCATATCTATTATGATTTTAGCATACTCATATGTGACTATCTATCTCATGGGACACTTCAGGTAGGTTAATGTCCTCATGCTACAGCTCCAGCTAAACATAAGGGAAAAGGGATGCCTCTCTTACATTTGCCATTGTGTTGTACAGGATGCCATTAATTCTTATGTTGTCACTGGCAAGTTCATGGAAGAGGTATTATGTATTTATTACACTATGGAGATGCTTTATATGTTGGAAACTTTGCATAGTGTTGGCATTATTCATGGTGATTTCAAACCTGATAATCTCCTCATTCGCTATTCTAAGTAAGTGTTGCTTTCCATCTCATCATTATAGATAATGACTGAAGGTTTAGTACAAATTTCTTGTACGCTTGTAGCTATAGATTGTTACTTGATATATTGTAAAACATCAGCAACTATAATAATGATGTTTATAAAAGGAAAACTAATGATCCTATGGACAATGTATGAACTGTTATTTCTAATCTTTTAGATTTAACTCTACCACAATAAACACTACATTCCTGATGGTTTAATGTGAATGATATTGCACATTATTTATTAAAATGCATTGAGGAGAAGAGGACTCACGATTCACCTGTTAGTAGATCAGCGCACTAATGTATAAGCCATTTGCACCTATTTAAAAAAGTCATGAAGATATCTATGCAATACTCCTTTTCACCTTTTAAATAATCAAAAAACATATGCAAAACATTTTGTTGAGTTAATCGATCGGATGAATTAGCCAAGAGGAGGTGAATTGGCAATTAAAACTTTGATAGAAGCTTTGACAGAAAATTGAAAATATTTGCATAACGATTTAGAGTAGTTCGACTTTCTCAACTAAAGTTTACGTCCACTACCTTAGTTATCCACACTAAGGATTTTTCACAAATTCACAAATTTGTCTTTCTTTTGAGGACAAAGAGTAACCTTACAACTCCCTTAAGAATTATACCCCAAATTCTTGAGAATACTCTCTCCCAAAGAGAAACGTACAAATTTTGTAAACTTATAGAAAAACCTTACAAGGTAGAATGTTTGCACAATTCTAGAACAAGGAAAGAACACTCAAAGATAAATATAATTGAGCACAAAGTGTGTTATTGAAAGCAAAATGAATATTGAAAGGAATTTGTCTTGAATTGCTCAAACTTGATGTTTGATGCTTTCTCTCTTGTTTCTCTAGCTTTTCTTTGTAATGTTTAATGATCAAAGGCTTCAAGAACTTGTTTAAATACACATTGGATGAGTTCTAGCCGTTGAGAATCAAATTGGTGATGATAGAGCCATTGTAGTGTGAAAATCCACTTGAAAAAGCTGTTAGGAGCGTATGGGTATCGGTACCCCTTCAATGGGTATTGGTACTACCTGTATAAAATTCAAATATTTTGACCGTTATAAAAATAAGGGTATCGATACCTCTCAAGGGGGTATCGATACTTCTATGCAAAGAGGTATCGATACCTGTCATGATATCGGTACCTATATTGCAATCTGTTATTCTCAGAATCAAAATCAACACAAGGGGTATCGATACCTTTTCAATACCTCTGTATATAGGGGTATCGATACCCTATAGGGCATTCATACCTCTTTTGCATTCGATGTTTGGGGTATCGGTACCTCTAAAGAAGGTATCGGTACCTCCCTATTTAAAATCAAATTTTGACCCGATTATGGTTCGAAATTCTTTGTAAAAATTATTCCAAAAACATTTTAAGAATAAATCACAATTTTCATTAAGCAAGGAGTAAAAATTGATCTTTGAAAACTTGAAGTAATATTTTTGATATTCGAATAATTTAATCGAATATATAATTTTGAATCGAATATAAAATCTTAAAATTCATTAACACTTTTGTTATATCAAAATATCAAAATGTTTTCTCAACAATCTCCCCCTTTTTGATATAACAAAACATTTTATAAATTTTAAGATTTTTGTCTTTTGAAAAATTACTTTGAAAATTAACTCCCCTAATTAACTACCCCTTACTATAACATTTCTCTCCCTTTTTGTTAAATAAAAAAGACTCCATAAAATGTTTAAACAAGTTTTTAATAAAATAGTTAATTGATTTATATAGATATAGCTTCTAAGATCAAAGCCAAGAGAAATATTAGTCATTAGTCCATAATCAATATTCATAAACAATGTGTAATTGGTCATAATTTGATCTAAAATGTAGATGATGCATCTTAACATAAAAATGTAATATAAGTTCAAGTAACTAATAATCATCCAAAATCAAACAAAAACATTCAAAACACAAAGAATCTAAACCAAAATTAAAAATTGATCCAAATCATTCAACTAAGTTCACAATTCAACCTAAGAAAACTAGCAAGAGAAGGTTAATCATCTGTCGGAGGATCAGAAGGAGATAGATGTGCCCATATAGAAGCCACATCTTGTGTAAGCGCATCGACCCTAGTGTTGAGTTCATCAAAACGAGCTTGAGTTGCCCGTTGTTGCTCTTGATGTTGTGCAGTGAGCTGAGACTCAAGGGATGTAAACCTCATGTCAAATATCTCCATGAACGATAGAAAATATGGAGGCATCTGACTCTCTTACTAGATTGGCTCGTCGTAGGCCTGATTTACGGGATTGTCGACATCCCGTAGAAGATATTCTAGCTCTTGAGCATCAGCCGGAGTCGGAGCAGCTTGTGAAGAGCTAGCACCTGGAGTTTTTAGAGTTGAACGAACCTATTGATCTTTGTCTCCACTTCATCCCGATTTACGTAAAGATGTAAGATTGATTTGGGTGGTAAGGGGGATGGCTACATCAAGCTCTACCTTAAGCTTGGCTTTGATAAACATATTGCTAAACAGACATCCGTAAACTAAAGTTTCTACATGTTTAGAAGGGAAATTGTTTACAGTTTTAACGAGCTCCGCAAAGATAATTTGTGGCAGATTTATTTTCTTATTTTTCTGGATACAATGTATCCACCATAAGTCAAGTGCCCTAAGAGTAGAGTATTTTCCTCCCGAAGGTCTAAACCACCAAGAGATAATCAGATGAAGAAAACGTTCTTGATGATCTAAAACACTCGCACTAGACTTGGCTTTATAAGGAGTATCCATTATATCTCGCTCATTATCTAACCCTCTATTATTTAGACCAAATGCATTAGCGATGTAGTATTAGTAAATATGAATGTATTGGCCTAGGAGATAAGACCGAATACTCTCGGTTGCGGTTCTAGACTCGTTTTGGACACAAACATCATTTGAGTAGAAAATACGAACAAGTTGGTGGTAAACAATTGGTTCAAGCTGAAAGAGTTTATCAAATTTCCATGATTGGAGGGTAGGGAGATATTTAAATTTCATGTCTATCATGGTTTGTAGAGATAAGATACGTTCTTCCCTAATACTATAAGTCTCGAAGTGGTGAATGAACCTAGTGTAGAGACCTTTACGGTTTGGTTCACCAAAACACGAGTTTCGAATAGTCATCTCCGGCTTATTAGGGATTTGTGGTGGAATAGGATTTTGAGGTGGAATTAGAGGTGGGTTTGGAGATCGGTTTGATCGACTAAACGATGTCATAGGTCGTTTAGAATGAGACATGGTTACGAAATTGGAATATGATAGAGTACCTACAATTTTAAAACACATATATGCAACACAATCAATCCCAAAACTCAATATGAGTCCTCAATATTCAAGGTTCTCTAAAAACTAACCTAATGGGAAAAATTTGAAAACTATTTTGAAAACTAAGCTTAAAAAATTATTATGCATATAGTTTTTTTTAAACATAATTAAATCAAAAACAACAATTTAAAACAAAACTATTTTTTATTTAAAAAATTTATTTTTTTTTTGAAAAATCTTGTGTTTTTGATGAAATTAGTTATAGATCCTAGTTCTAAACTATAATCTATCAAATGCTTGATATTTATTTTGAGAACTAACTAAAACTAGTCTTATGTTTAAAAATCAATAAAATAGTGTTTTAGAAAATATTCCCTTGAAATTTGGATTTGAGTGGAATTTGTTGTTGTTTGCACTAATTTGATGAATGCAACAGATTTAGAAGTTGAAAAATGGAAGAAATCCGACTTGTATTCGAAGGATTTGAGCAATAAGAAGATTTTGGGTGAAAATGAGTGGAACATCGGGAGTGTTTTTAGTTTTAGGTTTTGGTAAAATGAAGAAATTTAGGGATTTTAAAGCCTAAACCCGACAGGGGATATCGGTACCCATCGAGGGGTATCAATACACATTCAAGGAGGGTATCGATACATATTGAATTAGTATTGATACAGAGCAAGGGGGTATCGGTACCTTTAAAATTTTATTTGAACATATCATTAATTTTCACTAAAGATCATAAACTCCCTTTAACTATTAGCATAGAATGCATTCAAAAATATTATTTTTATAAGCAATTTTCATTTTGCTAATTAAAAGTGTTAAAATTATTTTAAACACTAAGTCAAGGTAGGTCAGTTAAACCTAATTCTCTCCTAAGAGTCCAAAATCTCTCTTTGTCTAAAGATTTTGTAAAAATATCGGCTAATTGATATAAAATATTTTCAAATTCTAGAATTACATCTCCTTTTGTGAAATGATCTCTAATGAAATAATGTTTAATTTCAATGTGCTTAGTTCTAGAGTGTTGGATCGGATTTTTAGTGAGACAAATAGCACTAGTATTGTCACACTTGATAAGTATGGTACAAATTTCAATGTTTCATCCATAAAACTTATGCGCAACAACTATCGGCTGAAATGTATTCTGCTTAAATGGTAGATAATGTAACACTATTTTATTTTTTTGAAAACCAATAAATCATCATATTTCCTAGGAATTGACAAGTATCGGAAGTGCTTTTCCTATCTATTTTGCATCTTCCATAATCTACATCAGAGAAGGCATGCAAGCTAAAGCTAGAGTCTCTAGGATACCAAAGTCCTATACTAGGAGTATCCTTAAGGTATCTAAAGATTCTCTTAATGGCTTGTAGATGTGATTCCTTAGGGCATGATTGAAATCTAGCACATAAGCAAATAATAACATAATGTTCGGTCTACTTGCGGTTAGATAAAGTAAATAACCAATCATTGACCTATATAATTTAACATCGACACATTTACCTCCACAACTTCACTTGTGAGAGCAGCTTCTCCCGGTCCACGGTCCTGCGACTCAGTTACTGGCCGTTCCATTGGGTATCAGGAAGAAAGAGGTCTTCCAGAATGCCTTGGTATGTTTCATTGTCTGTGTCTTGCGCGAATGTGGTATGGCGGTCTTCCAGAACCTGCAATTTAAAGTAACGATTAATAGCAGTAGGAGTAAATCGAATAGAAATATCGCGAACTAAAATGCCATGTTGGTTGGGCTCAGCGATGTTTGAGTAAAACTTCTTCATTATCG